TGATGGCAAGGCTCGTTTTTCTCAAAATTGTCTAGGATTATGGAGTTAAAGAAGGTAAAAACATGAGGTGAATTACCACTGTTGAGGAGGAAATATGATTAGGCAATGCTATTCTTGATTTATAATGAATATGTTGAATGATAGGTAATGCTAACTTCTAGGTTAGAATTCACCATAGATTGACATCAGTTGGAGGAAAATTAGGGAACTAGGATCACCGGATAATCATTTTAACACAGTACTGGACTCTTCAGCAGCGTGCATTCACAACCACGCCAGGAGTCGGACCCGGGACTTTCAGGTTCCATGGTCAGCACGCCACCATTGACCTACTACGTCGAAATCCAGTGGTTCACATTTCCTACTTCTAGTCTACAAGCCTGATGGAAGTAGTTTGGTTAATAAATGTGAAAATATATTTTGTGCTTGTCTGCATCATGTTTTACATTTTATCAGTAGCATCTAGAAAGTCAATACTGAGTTTTGAGGTACTGCCCTGTTCCCACAACCTGACACCAAATTATTATTTAGCCAATTTTATTTTAGACACTATCAGAAAAAAATTATAGTACACTATTGTGAGATCTTCGATGGGAGCTAACATGTTAAGATGTTCAACAAGGTATCAAGAAAATGAAATTCTGAGTTGTTCTTAATTTCCATTCTAAAACTTAAAGAGAGGTGACTCTCCTCAAATTTAAAAGGAATGGTCTCAAGATCAATTTTTTCATATCAGACAATGAAATTATCCTCCACATATCTTCTGTATAGATGGAACTGGTCAGTAATTGGGAGTAGTACAGCGGTGACATCATGGTCATTCCATCCTTTTATCTTTAAAATGCCTTACTGAACTTGAATTGCATGTTAAAACTGCATCGTAAAAGTAATTTCCTGAGATGACGAGTCGGGATACTAGCTTCAAGATCGTTGAAATTTCGAAGTATTTACATAGAAAACAAATAGTCCTTGTAAGTGGAATATTTGTGAAGAGAGAAGTGGCATCCAAGAATACCATTTGTTTTTCAGATACACTAAGCCTATTTATTGCATCAATGAAGTCAAATCAATCAAGTGCAGTGTAACTAATAATCCGGTTCCTCACTGGTTGAAGAATTCTACTCAGCCAATTAGCAGTCCTTTGTATTCAACTTCAGATTGTCAGATGCAGTGAGAGGAAGTTACATACATACTTTTCATAAGTTTTCGAAATATACAGTATGGTAGTTTTAGAAATTATTACGAATCTTTCTCGTAAATTGTTTAACTGAAAATTCAAACTGATGTTTCTCTTTTAACTTCCACTAGTCACAGAATAACAAATGGATCTTTATTGGCAAGAAGTTATCATTGACCCAGATTTAATGCTCAGTAATCTGTAACTGTTGTATTGCATACTACCAATCCTAATCTTTGATGAAATTTCGGTTCCATCGAGGTTGTAGATACTACATTCTTAAAAGGCACCAACTAATATCAAACAAAAGTGCGCTGAGATGGTAGCTGTCCTAGATTGATGTGTTACACTGTAAAATAATCTATAGAATCCTATCAATGCTTAGGAGTAGACAACTTGAAGTCGGTCAATATACATTTTAGTTATATTTCATAGCAGTTAACATCGAATTACGTTTTTTTATCATCAAATAGGAGTATATTTTTCTTAGTCGTGGTGAGCCTAACGACATTCAAAACTTTTAAATTAGATACCTGTTTGTTAGTCAATCTAACATACAGATAAAGCATAAACTCATTTTGTGTTGAACCACACAGCTAAACTAACCAGCTTCTATTGATACGAAGACACTTATTTCAAAATGTTGAATTCCACCTATGAAAGTATGTTATGGTGCTTAGGAAATATATATATATATATATATATATATATATGTGCATGTCTGGTGAACTATAAGTAATTAAAAAATTTCCGACCACTGTTAAAACCTTGTTTACTACGAATAAACTACATAATATGTTTATGTACAGAAGGACTGAATGCAATAGATACAAACAACGAAATAATACAGGAGGAAGTAAAGTCGACACAGTGAACGTGTTACTGATTGCATAATTCCAAAGATGCTTGCTTCCTTGTAAGCTACGCTTTCATTTTGTAGCATGACGCCAACAATTATATGCTGCAACTGGCTAGTTGAGATAGTTAATCAGTTTGTTTTTAAGCCCTCTTCATGAAGAAAAATGGTTCAAAAGGGAATCAGTATTTTACGTTAGCAACCGGTCCCTTTTACTGATTTATTTTGCAGTATTTTAGGATAAGCTTGTAGCAGAGATTGGTATTTCAGTGTAACAAATAGAATAATTTAGTCAGTCATTTCCCTAGGGTGTATTTTGTGTATGGAAGTAGTACCTTTATCACTGATAAAAGTCGAGTAATATCTCTATACGCGTCATAGACCAGACTTAATCTTTTCATATCTCCATGGAGCAGTATTAGGGAGTGTAATGAATGAGAACGGTACTCACGTACAGTTGGAGGATTTTCGCTTACATCTTGTTCTTGTATAGGTCTCACTCAACTCATTCCTGTCGACACATGAAATTTCGTTCCCAAATTCAAAATCCGTTTTATGTAGTACGTTAAAATATCCTAAAAAAAGCCAAACTACTATGACACTCATGAATGATGATAGTCCTAAAATCGTTTGTTTTCCAATAGTAGTATCACAGCGATTAGAGGCGGTTTCAAAATTTGATTATTTCAGGTAAATAACCGAGAAATTTTAGCTTGAATTTATGGTTTACTCTTACTTGCACCCATTTATCAATATTTCAAAAAAAGCAGACAAAATTTCCAAAAATTTGAATAAAATGGTGAAGCTGAAATATTTGTTTACGAGTTTTTTTAAAAGAGCACATTTACATGACAATCAAGGAACAGAACTTACTGAAACATATATATATATATGTAAGTATATATACACAGAGTAATTAACTTAACATTGCACAAAATATGATATAAAGATAGATATCAAAATACTCAATGCTTATTGCACACAGTTTAATCACAAAGTGTGTGTCCTGCTATCTGCCAATCTGGTTACCTTTCAAGACAATAGATAATGTAAATTAAACGAATGAGCGGCATGTATCAAGTGACGAGTTTTTTTGAGCAGAATCAATGAAACCACCATATTCGAATCCTTCTGAAGACACTGCATTAAATACGTTACTCTAGGCATAGAGTAATATCATGTAGATTCCTCAGCTGCTGCAGTCTAATACCTCAGAGATTCCGCGATCGGTAGCTTATACTTTTCTGCAGGAGTCAGACCAATATTCACTTACTTCATTTGCTGATGCAACAAAATGATTGTCGTCGTTAGCATTCTTCCAGGCTAGTCTTACTACGGCTAGTAATTTGTGTTAGAAAATTATTTCACAGATATGCAAATACCCTAACGGTAGTAATCTTCGAAGTCATATAACATTAGTGACTGACTTTAATTCTTTGCCAAAAAGCTGACATCTTGATTCAGCAGTGTAAGGTTGAAAGCTCTACCATGCACAAGCGGTACTTCGAAGAAAGCTATGACTGAAAACCCGTAAACTTCTCGAAATTCGGTTTTCAAGAATCACGTCACAGCCGTGTAGGGCAGTGAAGTGTTTACCAGTATACTCATCTTTCAGTGAATAGTCAGATACCACTCCAGTAACAAAGTTGGCCAAGGCTGGAGAAAGCTAAAGGAAGACAATTTCGTTGTTGTTGTGATTCCATTAGCAACCAAGCAAGAAGGACTTACGTCATCGCTAAAACAGCTGACTTAATTAGTGAAAATATTCCTCACTTTTGAACTGGGTGGGGCTATTTCATTTCTATTTACATGGACTAGCGAATTAGAATGTAAACGTTCGAATACTTGGAAGTCTAGCTTTTTTAGTAAAACCATTTTTCAGTTTACAACAGTTTCATTGTGTAGCGACGCAAAGTGATTCCAAGCCAATTTTTAAGAGTAAACATCTTCCATACTGGTTGTTGGCAGTACTCAGAGTTTGTTGGTTTATTTTTATTCTTCTTGAGTGATTTGAGTGCCCGCTCAACTCATAATATAGGAATCTTGGAAGCTGTGACGTAAGTAAAATCCATTACTTAATTATCTGTATCCTACAAAAACTACAAAACTATTTGTAAAAGAATCATAGGTCAAGTGTACGACAATTTTTCTATCATCCCGTGCTCATTTGTTTTCGGCACTTACATTAATTTTTTCGTGACTTATAAATTTAAAATGAAATGTATTTTAATGGTGATCGTATTATTCCCATATTTTTGACTGAGATCAATGAAGAGAATGTGTTTCTCTTACAGTCAAGAATAAAATTTGCAAATATTTCATACACAGCTGATTTCTGTAAACATACCTAGTCAAAATTCAATCATTCCCAGAGTAAATGAGAAGAATTACTTTATAAAATTCGTAATACGTAGTAGGAGCAAATAAATGTGCTTTCTTTATAGCATTAAATCGTTGGGTACACAGCCAAATTGGAAGGTCTAAATACCTTATTAACCTATAGGACTCATTTTAGTCAACATATGTTGACCCTTAGTCATGAATATAGACAAGAAATCCCTGCTATATGAATCACTTTTAACCACACCTATTTACGTTCATAAGAGTCTATAAAAGATTAGACGTTTTTGACCTAACCCTAATTGACCAGAAATTATCGATATAAAGTTGTTTCACTTGAATTAATGAACCAGCAGTTGTTTCCTTCTTTATATAGGTAAATGATAACATTGAGAGATTTGTTTCCGTCCAGAAAAAGCTTTCGGGCTGCTGTCAAACAACAGAATACTTTTATATTTCCATGAGATCTGTAACATGTTTATTAAAACCAAAAAGCTTAATAAGATGATATCGACTACTCCCACTGACCAATCAGTTTGTCAACAATGACCTCAACTCATAAAAATTCCTCGATTTAAACGACTGTTTACATATTTATACAAATTTCAAAATATAAGTTCATCTTACTTTGGTGATCGTTGGAGAAGACGTTGAATAAAATCAATTGAATTCACTGAACGACTTTTAAAAAGTGAATCAGGATATTCAATTTCAACATGAGTTATATTCTGCATTGTGATCAACTTGTCTTCTCCGAGGAATGGGGAAATGCCAGTCAGTAGGTAATATGTAAGAACTCCAACAGACCTAAGGGAAAAAAGTACCATGCAATCATATAACTTTGATGAATAAGGCAACCTATATATCATGAGACAATGTATATATATTACACAGTGATATTGTGAACATCTTTTGTTATCATTATACCATATCGTTTAAAGATAAGTGCAATTCCTTGTGATGGGCTACTTTCTTAAGAGACTTCATATCACTGGAAGCTAATTGAATCAAGCAGAATCTCTTCACTACAGAAACTACAAATGGAAGTCATTTCTAATCCATTCTAATAAACAATCTCCGCTGGTACGTATGCGTATCAAAAGCTGTCATGAAGAAAAAACAGTCATCGCCAAATCGGTATGAAATAATAAGAGTAAGTAGGTGCTGACAAATAAATCCGTTTCCCCCAGACTTATGAAGTTGAAGGCTGAGAACAAGAAAATCAGACCAAGGTTTGATTGGATTTACAGCTGATAGTTTACTGGAACCGTAGGAATAGATGGCACTCAGAGGAATATATGAAGTCTATCCTTTCTCCTTGTTTAAATGGTCGGACAACGTGTTTACTGAAACCAATCTTGCTAATATGATTGTCTATCTATGAATATGCAAAGTTCATCTTACTGCTAACCAAGAGCAGAGTTAAAAACCGACTGCTGAATGTGTCAAGATATGATTTCGGAGTATTCAGCATAAAAAGCACATCATGTGAAGATTCAGCAATTCGCATTTCACCAAGTTCATCTTAAATGGAGTGCAAAAAATGTTTTCTCTAAGCATCCTCCACCCATATAATCCAAAGCACCGTTCGGGTAGAACAAAACTACTTATTAAACCAAATTGAGTTTACCAGAAGAGATGTAAGTGACAGAGATATGTAAATAGAGTTCATCAATTTACACTTAACCAAGACACTATCGGAGATTTTTCTAAACATATCAGATGTTTAGCGTTCTTTGTAAACTACAGTAAAAAACAAACGAACGGTGAAACAATACAAAAACAGGATATTGAGGAAATTGAAATAATAAGCAATGAGATGATATAATATAGCTTTTTTCTGTCTTTAAATCCTCCTACACCTAATCATTTTTACCCAAAATCATCCTAATTCTTTCTTTAAATGCTACGACTCATTTTATACAACCAATGACTACTTCAGATTTTAGCAACAGAAATATGTTATCTGCTTTATAAAACTCGATCCGCTTTGTGTGAAGTACTTCCATCCCAGTTGGAGTTTTGATTTTAGCGACTTCGCCTTAAAACCTGAACGTTAACTTAACTAAGAGAACTACTAGAAAAAGCTAAGTTAGAGACATAAGGAGTCATTCACCCTTGAAAGTTCAAACGACGTCACGAAACATGAAAATCATACCATTTGATAATAATGGAGATGGCACACTAGACAAACTTGAGATAAATAGTTAAATTAAACATGCGTTTCGAGGTATCTTATTGTCTAAATGCCTACTACCGTAGGTGTCCTACAACGCAGCACGCTAACGATGCTTGACAGTATCGCTTGCTGAACAAATTACAAACACCTTATCCTCTTTCTTGAAAGGAAGAATGTGCACATTATGAAGGGTACCTAAACGTTTTGGCAGGAAATTTACCAAATATAAAGGTGTTTCCATATTACAACTATACGATTATTATTTGAATGAAATAAAATAAGACAAGAATAATTCTTATTTTAGGCAACAGAATGAAGATATCTTTGGAAAAACATCAGCTGAAAGTCTAAAATTTTTCCAATTTATCTTAAGGGTAGTCGCTCTTAAAATCCTGACTTCAGTACTTTGAACCACAGGTAGATGTTTCGATACTGCTTTCAGATAACGATTTCATGTATAAAACACTTTTCACTAAGCTGTCAATGACTAACTACTTATCCCCTGGCCCATAAAATAACCCATAACAAAATTTGTTGTAACGCGTATCAACAATCAGAAGATAGGAGTGGCTGTATAGCACTAACATTAATAAAAAAGTATTAAATTACAGCTATGATCCATTCATGGTGTGTTTTAGCCTGCCTCCACTAAGATCCTTTTGGTTGATCAGTTAATATAATTAGCTCTTATTTAACCACTGTCACCTAGAGCTCATCAGATGAATCTGTAGAAGAATGTGTAATAGCATGACTGTTGGTGTAAGTAAATATAATAGTCCTAATAAACAAATCATTCAGTTTATCAAAATTTGGAAATCGTTAGGGGAAGAAACTTGGCCACTTATGACCTTGCACAGTACGCAGTATAACTCGATAAACTGTAAAAAAACCCACCAGAGATCTTCTAAATGATGTCACATCAGTAAATGACAACGGTTGGGTGAATTTGAAAATGTCGAATTAACTAAATAAACAATTTAGACAAACGCATATAAAGCGAATTTATCTAATAAAACACTTTTAAACGCAATATAAATGACAAACAACTGAATAGTAAACAGAGCAATTGGAGTTTTATGACATGACTTTCTTTGACCTGAAAAGGAATGCAAACCTAAAAATTCCCTTCTTTCTTTGTTAAACCATCATACTTATCAAATTCAGGTAAGAAACAGAAAAAAAACACTGTTCTTAAATCAGAGTGAGAAAAAAATGATAAACATTGGTATTTTAAAATGTAATTTTGGAAAGGTTTTTTGTTTCGTATCTTTACTTATTGGTGAAGTTCTAATAATGTCTTAATATTCATATAACAAATAAGTAAATAACCAACAAGAATGAGATACTACTTAGTGAAAAATTGATTTGACAAGGAGTAGGATTAAAACTATCGAACTAACCGGTAGAACGATGACAAAATTGACTTTAAGTTACTTGGCACTCAACGATAAATCATTTCCCCTACCGTTTTAAAGGAGAGGCAGAGACAAACATTAGGTAATGGTGAATAATATTGGTTCTGGGACTTCCATTCTCTGTTGACATCTCACGAGGTAATTTGCTCATGTTTGATCTTCTATATTTACTGCGCACCTTAGAAAATCCACTATATACTGTTTGCTAACCCTAAACGTTAGTGTTCTTTCTGAGTCACCTTAAATGACGAACAATAGAGTGATGAAATTAAGAAATGGTGACGACAGGCAACGTATCCACAGATGAACCTGAACGATCACTGACGTTGCAAGGATATTGGAACGCAATTTTAAGGGTGTGAAATGCGCATAATACAAAAACAAAAATGAATAAACAGGAATGTATTTAGGTACATGTTGTAAGAACCTATTTTAGTTTTCAAATGAAATGTCCATGGAGATATTATGACCGGCTTTCATCCATGAATTCATCCAGACGGTGGTGGATCACCTCCTTCAGGTGGCTTGGGTTTGGAAAACGATGCCTGAGAATAGGTGTAAGAATAAGTAACAACGCATCTCCATGATCCGATTTCTTTTTATGACACACAGAACACTGAAATACATAATTGTAAACAGACTGACACTTAACTATTTTGTGTTAGTTTTCAGTTGTTTCGCACTCATCGACTTCATATTTGGTTTTCTATAAGTCGTTGATTTAGACATTACTGATAAACGGGGTTGAAATAAACTTCAGTGACCGGAAACCTAGAGGACAACCACTAAGATCGGAGGTGACATATTCAAGGCAATCGTTACGTCCATTTGCTATGTCATTGACGCTGTATAAAGCTCTGATGAATAATGACGAGGATTAGACTGAAGGCTGTATGCAAAATTGGGTAGAGTTGGTAATGTGGTTGAAAAAGATGAATATCGTGTTGCAAAACTTCAGCATAACCTAAGAATATAGTTTAAACAGGACTGGGTAAGTTATAATTTGCCTAATGTATGTTGGCATGCATATATCTTGGCAAACCATAGATTCTTGGCAAATATGAACGAAAAACGAAGAAATAACAATTTGAGTAAGTAAAGTATATTAGTTAAGCTAAAATGCCTGCCATTGGGTACCACAATATACACATATGCCTGGATGTCATATATACTTCCATCTCAAACGATTTACAACTATCAAGCTGTCGTTCACATGAAGCATTTCACTGATCAAACAACTGGAGTCCATACAAACAACTTTTAAAATATGTAGAGTCGTCTTGGGTAGCTCTTATGGCCTACAATGGGATGACAATGCGAAATTTCAGCAATAATGTTTAAATGAAGTTGTTTCATATGAATTACTGGCAATGCATATAATGGTACGGATATAAAGATTATGGAATAATACATTGTTTGTTTACCTATATATATTTCTCAAGTAATACAGATTTGTAAATCGTAACCAAAGTACCATTTACTATATTGGTTACGTTGACCTTCATACTCTTGACTCCAATTGGTCACTAAATGCTTGAACATGATTACTAATAAAAAGAATAAAACTTGAGCACCATGAGAGGATGTAATTCCGTCTTAGTTGACTTACTAGATGCATCACACTGTGGGACGGTATTATTTACTGGATTACTTTCCGGACACAATTTGCTGTCTATAGTCATAGCAAGATAACCGCCCAAGATTAAGACATCCTCTGCTAGCCATAACCAAATAAATTATAATTACCTAGCTTTCACTTTCTCCCCATATTTACTATATGGGTAGCAGGATTTTCCAACTATCTAGAATACGTACTGAGTCATTCTTATTGCATGTATTAACTGTTGGTTCGATTTACGAAAATTCGGTTATCAACCTCTCCCTCCACCTCTCTATGCTACGTTTAAGGATTTTCACTCTGTCAAATCCTATTGAGTGGTCATGTGTAATTAATTACATGCATAGCTATGGTCGAGCAGTTTTCCACATTCCTCACCTTACTAGGATCTACCAACTTTGACCAAGCTAGATTTTTGTGCTCGGATAGCCTAATTCATCGTAGTCGACTACTTCGACCTAGCTTTCGTCACTAGGGGTTGGGTTAACTAGATTATTCTACCTAACTGGATTAATTGGATCTCCTAAACTACACAGCTTATTTCGAAGTGAGTTTGTAGATTAGAATGACACTCTAATCCCAACCTGATTGACAA